CCCTGCGGCTCGGGGGGCAGGTGGCCACTGGCCGCGCCGAGTCCCCTCGCCAGGGCAGCCCTCGCTGAGGGGACGGGGAGCTTCGGGCACCTCGGAGGGGACCGGGGTCACACACGGGAGGGAAGACGCCAGCCACAGTGTCCTGGGTGTGCAACACAGGACTAATTCCTTGGGAAAATGGGACTTTTGGAGGACTCTAGTGTCTGAATTTGTAAAGATACTTAATAGCCTCTCCATGTGGGATTTAAGGTCTCGGTGTTCTTATGCTCACCAGGTGCAGGGGGATGAGGAGGAGCGAGACCCAGGCACTGGACCCCAGGGAGCTTCGGGCACCTCGGAGGGGACCGGGGTCACACACGGGAGGGAAGACGCCAGCCACAGTGTCCTGGGTGTGCAACACAGGACTAATTCCTTGGGAAAATGGGACTTTTGGAGGACTCTAGTGTCTGAATTTGTAAAGATACTTAATAGCCTCTCCATGTGGGATTCAAGGTCTCGGTGTTCTTATGCTCACCAGGTGCAGGGGGATGAGGAGGAGCGAGACCCAGGCACTGGACCCCAGCTGGTCAACAGGATTATTTCATGCCATGAATGTCATATTCAATATAAATGAGAGAGTTTGCTGCGTAATGCTCTCTCCCCTGATGGCTGCGATCCTGAGAACTTCTTGCCCCGGAGCCGGACCCCTGAGCCCTTCGCTTCCTCCCGAAGCCGTGGTGCTCACAGTGTCCCACATCAGCTCTCCGTGTCTGGGAGTGCACAGCTTCCTGATCAGAGAATGGGCTGAGTATAATCCTTGTGTATTTTATATTGGTATCGGGATCAATACTGGTTCTTTAGTATTATTAATGTTAATTATTTAGTCTTATCCTACTAAATCTATATCTGAACCCTCGTGTCTCCGTGGTTTTCCCGATTCCCCTTCCTGGATGGGCAGAGGTCATCAGGTGATAGAATGATTGTCTGAACGGCAATAAATTGCTGTGGGTTCCTCAAAGCATAGCACCCAGTTGAGGTTCAGATCCATGACCTAGGACCATGGCCAAGGAAGATGCGTCAGGGAGGGTGGCCGTGGCTGTGGGTGAGGTGGGAGCTGGGCAGAGCACTGGGAGACACTGGGCTGGGAGAGCACTCCCAGCTCAGAAGCCAGCGCCTCACCAAAGACACGGTGTGTGGAAGAGGTTCAGGGCAAATCTGTGGGGCAGCTGGTGGGGCTGGATGCCCAATGAGCCCGTTCCCCACAGCTCTGAGGAGGCCGAAGGGTGAGCTGCTCACAGCTTGCGTGTGCTTTGCTGGGGGAAGAGGAATTGGAGTTCCTTGATGGAGCAGACAAAGGTGTAACAAGATCCAGTGGCTCTAAGATGATGTCAGGCAAATCACGACTTGGAGTAAGGTGCAAAGTCTGAGCGCTGCCCTTAACCATCCATGGAATATTTTTATGTAGATTGGGATGGATGCTTCTAGAGCTCCCCAGGCACTTCTGGAATGAATTCTGGATGCTTTCCCACTCTGGGACTTCCTCTACCTGACGTTAGGTTGGAGGTCACACTAAATGCAGTAGAACTGATTGCTTTGGACCCCAGTAATCCATTTGCTACAGTGCCGCATGGTGAGTTATTAGTTAAGATGGAGATAAATCCAGGAATTATAAGAGATTACTAGAGGAGTTCCCCCGTGGCTGGTCCCGGGCCCAGCTTTCATTAAGGATCTTGGCACGCTGAAATGAATGTGCTAATGAAGTTGGCTGCTCGTCCAAAATTGGGAGGCATTGTCAATACAGGGGAGGACTGGGATATCCTATAGGAGGAGGTGGGCAATTTTGATGGCTGAGGCAGTAGGAATAGGATGAAATGCAACAGTAGAAAATGTAAAGTTAATGCTGTTGATAGCTGAGAGCAGACTCTTCTGTTACGAGTTGACAGTGGGGACTTACCGCTTGGAAATTTAGTGGAGAAGAAGGATTTAGGTGTGGTGCCAGTTCCAGTATTGGGCCAGTCACATTCTTCTCCGGGTGTTGCTCTCCCTGGGTTGAGAAGAGGTGGGGAAGGTCCGGCATGCGCTCGAGCCACTGCTGGTGGCTGCAAGCAGCAGTCGCTGAAGGTTGCGCGTCTTGGACACGCTGGAATCCAGCTGGGCTGAGGGAGAACCCGACAGGGCTACTCAGTGTGTGAGTATCGTAGGAAATATTTCACACTTGGCAGCCCTGACTGGGGTTTGACAGTCTGAGCTGGGGGTGATGTAACCCGAACAGCGGCTGTTCTCGTGGAGATCAAGACAGGCAAATGCGTGGGGCTTTTCTGCCTATCGAAGCCCCTCCACCTTTCAGGGGGAGGAACCTCTTCTTTGAAGCTTTGCAATTGTTAGGAGATTTTGTCCTGGAACTCACACAAATAAGAGAATATTTGCAGTTGTTTCTCTCCTCCAAAAACCCTTAGAGATGGAATAAACGCTCTGAGGTGCGTGGAGAAAAAAATTGCAGAAAAATCAACCCAAGGTGCTTGGAGCTGGCAGCGTGGAGCAGCAGCCTTCCCCCAGCTCTTTGCCTCCCCGCAGAAGCTTAATGTTTTCAACCAATTGGCCCACGTTGAAATCGGGAGCCTGGCCGGGCGCCTGACGTGAGGGCCGGGTGAGGAAGGACGGCGCAGCGCTGTGTCACTGGTTGCTACTGGAATTGCCCTGTGTCCCATAAATCCTACTGCTGCCAGAGAGCTGCTTAACAAAACCTTTGGCCGCGCTGAATAAGGTGGTCATTGTTCTCCCCCACCGTAGTGCTACCATGTGGGCTTCCCACCAGAGCTCTAGCTTTAACTAGGCGTGTGTGCCCTCGCTCTAAAGGTGGTCTAGGCATGTGGGAGTGCTCAAGTGTGATTGCTTTCCCAGACCCTCACGGCTTTCTCTTGGGCAGAAGGAGGACCAGACACAAGCTCTATTCATAGGTCCAAGTCAAGGAGTAATCAACAGCAAACAGCACTAGTGGGGGGACTCTGTTAGTCCTATTCTGCGTGGTTGGGCTTGGGTTGAAACCAGATGGAGAGAGTCCATGCTTAGGTGTGAGAACTTGTCCATGAAAGGAATGCTTGCGTGGTTCTTACTTGCTGTTCGGACGAGAGGGGTTGGCAGCAGTGTGATTTATAGTGGGGGCAAAACTGAACAAGTACGGCAGGCTGAGAGCTGAGAATACACCTGAAAACGCACGCTGGGAAAGAGAAACTCTGGCACTACGGACCTGGACTGGACAGGAAGCAAGCACAGAAAGGGGCTTTAGGCAGCCACAGCAGCACCAGACATTTGTCCTGTTAACTCTCCTCCTCGGTGGAGTGGGGCTGCTCTAGGCCCAGGATCAAATGCTGCCTGCAGTGTCACCAGTAGGGCAGAGAATTAGGCTGTTCAGAAGAGGTGACCCCCCAACATTTTAAGTGAGCAAGATCCATTTTAGCCACAACAGGAAACGATGGATGAAAACTCTTTCTCCCCTGTTGCCCTCACCAAGCAGGGAAAAATGTGTCAGGGTGGGTGACAAACCCCATTCCGATGGGTGGAGGAGTCCAGAGGGGCTCAAGGCAGGACAGATTTTAGGTTTCATTCTGTCTGCATGCCTGCTCTTCCCTCTCATCAAGAATCTCTGAAGTCAGAGTCCGATTCCCCAAGTGCTTAAATGTTTTCTGTCCCACGTGTGGACCTCACCCTCCTTCAATCGTCCTGAGACTCCTGTCACTGGGGTGGGCAGCATAGCGTGTCTTGGGGGGAGCTGGGATGTGCTAGTGGGGTGGTGCCTGGGACAGGAACCAGAGGGGGATCGTGAGGAGGGGTTTGAGGGGGTCAATTCAAGACAAGTGAACCCATGGGTCTTGCTGGCCCACACACAGGGTGGCACCCCGTACTGTTCCTACCCTGCCTCTGGTAGCAACACCCCACCAGCTACCTGTTTGGGGCCACACCTGGCGACTCCCTCCTTCCTACCCAAAGATTCCCACCTCAGGGGTGCTCTCCTGCTTTAGCAGACATTGCTGTGGACGCTTCCATGCTCCTCTTAGGATGCTCTTTTTCTGATCGAGAAGGTACTCGGACATCCTGGGGTCGCCTCTTTGGAGGAGTGGATGGGAAGTGGGAAATGCAGGGCCATATTCCCACGGCCCCGGTGGCGAAGCACGGGGCCAGGCGAAAACTGCCCTCTCTACCTGGTGAACACTTGAACCTGTAATTAAAAGAGAAGAACTAAGTATCTGGAAGATCATTATTTCACAGAGCCTAAGCAGCCTGGCTTCAAAAACGGAAAATCACGTCTCACTTACTGAATTCCTTGAACATGTCAAGGTTTGTAAAGAGAGATAATATCTTTTATTAGACCAATTGATACAGCTGGAAAAAACAGACAAGCTTTCAGGCACAGAAATACTTCTTGTATGTTTTTTCCAGCTCTATCAGTTGGTCTAATAAAAAGTTATTACCTCTGCCCACAAATCTTATTTCACTTAATCCTTAGATCATCACAGCCACAGTGCAACTACTTGAAAATGTCCGTAAGGAATGGAAAAAGGGAGAATTATCTGACCCAATTTATTTAGACTTCTTAAAGTTCTTCGGCCAGACCACAAGCTTCTACTAACACTAAGCAGGTCTGGAGTGAGACGTGGTGCCTTTAATAAAAAGTGTTCCTGGAAGACTTAAAACTTTAGAGTTACACAGTCAATTTTCATCATGGGAAAGTGTCAGTCCTTGGCTGTGGCAGCAAAATAAGCAGGTGACAATTATTTAGGCTAATGAGGATGGGTGAAGATTGTGAGGAAAAAATACAGGCAAATGGACAAAGCACTAGAGAATTGGATGTTCCTTTAACATGTGGAGCTAAAGCCATTAATCTATACATCTGTCCAGCCAAGAAAGGGAGCAGGGGTCGTTTTATGCAGCTCAGTGGAAATCTCTGCACCACGTACGCTCGAGAGGCACGTGTGTAATGATCTTATATTTGATCCCAGGGACTGCCTCCACCGAGCGCCCTGGGGACCGGTTGCCCTGTCTGGAAAGCGGCGTTAGAGAGCTGGAGAGGGCTGGGAGGAGCAGCAGGAGCCATCGGGAGTCTTGGCAGAACTCGCCGTGAGGAGAAAGGTCCGCAAGGCTGGGATTGTCTGCCTCAGTGGGAACTGCAAAAGCCTGCCCAGCGCGGAGCTGGAGAAGGCAGAGCGGCAGGCTGCACAGAACCTGCCCCCGCTGCATGTCAAATTAAAAACCGATTTAAAAGAGTGCTTACATGACGTATTGTGCTGAGAAACTGTCGCCCTTAGTCAGGCCAAGATCTGAAGACTGCTCACGGGGCTGGGTATGGCTACAGGGGCACCCAGCCTCCTAACCCGCTGCCGGCCGCCGGGCATCACCACCCAGCCCGCCCCCAGCCCTCCGGGCGGCCCGGCGGCTGCCCCTGCACCGGCACCGGGGCCGGGGCCGGG